GCGCGCCCCCCCCCAAGCCCCGGCGGGGGGGGGGGGGGGGGGAGAGAGCAACGTTGTGGCCGCCTGCTCTGGCTCACCTTCTGCTCTGTTTGGCCTTCCCCCTTCCTGCTCCCCCCTAAGCCCCTTCCCCTCCCTCCCAGAAGCAATGGGGGCGGGGGGGGGGCGGGAAGACAGGCCTCTTACCTGGAAGTCCCCGTTGTGAGAGGCGTAGAGGGGCAGGAAGAAGGCCGCGGGGTTGGGGGTGCTGGCCGAGCAACGGCTCTTGATCCTGGGGGGAGACAGAAGGGCAGGACCTCCTGAGGGGGCACCGGGTGTCTCTGGCCACTGCGTGACCCAGAGGGGTTGGGCTGGAGGGGGGCCGCTGGCCTGACCCAGCGCGTGGGCTTCTCTCTCTCTCTCTCGTGTTCTTCATGTTCTTCTGGTCACTTCCTGGGTCAGCAGCAGCCCCTACGAGGCGCCCGTCTCCCCTGAATGCCCAGGCAGGGTGCCAGCTGTCTGCACTTTTGCCCGCTGGTGAGCCTGTGCAGAGGCAGGGGAGGGTTCCCTCTCCATGCACCCCCATCCTCCCCACCACCACCACCAGGCGCCCTCTGTTTCCCTAAAGGGGCTCACGAGCAAGGAGCGCCTCCCTCACCCTGTGCTGACCGCCCCGCTGATGAGGGGGAAGCCCCAACACGGAATGGCCTGGCGGTGGGTGGTCAGCCCCATACCCTGCGGCACCCTACCTCGGGTAGAAGCCGGCGAGCAGGAGGAGAAACAGCAGGGCGCCAAGGAGGCAGAGAGGGACGGAGGCGAGGAGGAGGGCCGGCAGCACCAGAGACTCCTCCCTCCGCAGCAGAGGCCCTGGGGAGCAGACAGAGTCATCATCCATCGGCGCATCCCTCAGCAGGCTCAGGGCTGCCTCCCCGGTGCCGGATGGACGCGGCCCCGGTCCGTCTACGCTCCGGGAGGGCCCCTCCCTCGAGTGCCAGGGCCCCTCCCTCGGGTGCGCCTTTCCAGCTGAGGGGGATGAGCAAGGCGACTGGGGGAGGGGGGGTGAGGGGCTGCAGGCAGCCTCAGTGCTGGGACTGTGATGTAGCTGGGTGCGTCACCTGCCTGGGCTCTAGGGAATGGGCTCCATACCCGCACGGGGGCAGCGTGAGGGGAGTGTGTGTGGGTGAGGGGGTGCCTGGTGCTGAGGGGCTGGGCTGAGCACCCCCACCGGGCCATCTGGCCAGCGGACTGGGCCAGACCTGGGGGCACGCTCCACTCGGTCTCGCTGCTCCACTCGCTCCACTGGCTGCCGTACTGCTTCTTGCGGTCGGGGGTTTTGCAGCGCACTCTGGCAACGTAGCTGGCGCCTGGCGCGAACTCGGAGCCGTCTATTTCCATCGACGTTTCTCTGGTGTCCACGGTCTTGTTCTCTGCTTGCTGTTCAAGGGTGGGGAAGAAGGAAGGTGGGTTGAGGCCGGGGAGACACACGGCCCAGTCTGTCACCCTGGGGGTCAAGGCACTGGGCAGGCGGACTCCTGGGCAGAGATGGACCAGAGACAGGCCCCGTGGGGCATCATTGGCCAGGCGGCCGCATCCAGCGCCTCCCCCCCCCCAGCCTCTCCTCACCTCCCAGGGGACGGGGGCGGCCCTGAACTGCAGCTGCCACTGCATGTCCTTCCAGATGTCCACGTAGGCCTCTGGCATCTTCCACTCGATCAGGCACTTGCTGCCGCTCATGTTGCTCCGGAGGCCGTAGGGCGGATCGCATTTAACTGGAAAGAGGGCTGCCTGGTTGAGAGGAGAGGCCCGGGGCTCTCCCGGAGCACCCACCAAGGAGGAGCCGCCCGCCCGGGAGAGTGCGTTTCCCGCTGCTAGTCCTCTCCGTCTCTTGCAGCCCCGAAGGGTCTGGAGCAAGGCTCCCTCTTAGCTGTGGAGTCTTGTGAGCAAAAACCCTACTTTGTGAGCTACTGAGCATTAAAGTGGTAAGCGAGCGATTTGGCTCCTGCATAGATTACTTTGCTCTGGAGCCTTCCTCCCTTGGGCTAAGGGGAAAATGGGTGAGCCGGAGGCTCAAAACCTGTGAGCTAGCCCACACTAGCTCAGCTTAGAGGGAACACTGGTCTGGGCGCCCATTCATGGGACCCACGTACCCCTCCCACAAGACGCCTGCCAGTCGACTGAGTGGCTTTCTAAGCCCCGCTTGGTTTTTAGGGAGGGAGGCTGCGCTGGCTCTTTGTGGATGCCTGGTGGGCTGCCTGGGGATGAATGGGGGAAGGTGGCCTCTGCCGTTTTGAAACCAGGAGCTGCGTTCTGGGAGGGGGGGGATGGGGGGGGCGGCCCGGGACCTCCCCAGCGTTGCCCCTCCCCTCTTCCTCCCCGGGGCGGGCCGTGGCTGCAGAGGACTCACTGTTCTGCATGGGGTGGTAAGCCTCCTCCCAGGCAGCGTGGGCAACCATTTCCCCCAAGGTGTAGTTGTCGCCATGCAAAGAGACTGTGTACTCGTCATTCTCCCCAAAGTATCCCGGTCCCTCCGCGAAGCAGCTGAACTCGCCCCGTCTCTCCTCGGAGGGCGACAGCCGGCAGACGAGGTCACTCTGCCCGAGGCCACTCCGCTGGAAGGTGCTGCCGGCAAGACAAGAGGCAGGTGTCTTCCGGCCCTGCGGACTCTGGGACTCCGCCAGGGACACGGCAAGTCACACGGCAGACGAGGGAGAGAGTGCCTCTGAACCTATGCAGAATAACCACCTTCAGCCTGCCCGTGACTACAGTGAAAGTAGGGTTGCCAGGCCCAGGTTGGGAAAGACCCAGAGATTTGGGGAGTGGAACCTGAGGAAGGCGAGTGGCCATTTTCTCCAGGGGGGACCGGCCTTTGTTGTGGTGGTCCCAGGAGAGCTCCCGCCACCCTCAGTGAAAGGGGTAAAGCAGCAACACGGGGGGGGGGGCGTCTCTAGGCCGCCTTTAGTCCTCCGGAAGCCATGCCTGCAGGCTCCTGCTAGTGGTCCTTTCTGCCAGGGGCAGGTTCGTTCCTTTGGCAAAGTGTCCCAGCAGGCGGGGCTGGATGGGCCGTCAGCAGGAGCCAGGCGTGAGGAGCTGGGGAGCCTTGCGCTTGCCTCGGGAGAAGGCCCAGCCACAGGGCCGCTGGTGACCGTGACCGGCAGCAGCTAGAGCAGCCAGCAGAGGCCTCTTCCCCGCCTCCTTCAGTGGGGGGCTGGACTTGGGTCTGACCTGAGCCACAGCTGTTCCCCTCTCTCTTATATGGGGCCACGTTTCCCCCCCCCAAGTACACAAGCAGCTGGCTGGCTGGCCGGCCGGCTGCCCCATCTCACCCCCACGACAAGAGGCTGCGTGCCTGTGCCAGCTGGCCTTACTCGGAGAAACGGAGGTAGAACGCTCCCTCTCCCATGGCCGGATTCCGGTGCCACGTGCAATTCACTCTACGCCTGGGAGGCCCATAATTGTTCAGACATTGCAGGCCGCTGGAGACGCCTGCAAGGGGGACAGCGTGCAAAGGAGGTCAGGCCAGACTGGGGGTCCCCTGGAAGCCGGGCTTGGCTTATCAAAGGGCACCCACGCCGGCCTGCCACGGATCTCCAGCCTGGTGGTGCCCAGCAGGATCACACCCACTTGCCAGCTACAAGGGGCTGACTCACCCAGAGACCCCGGGACGGAGGGTTGGGTGGGTGGGTGGGCTGCTTCTGGCTCCACCCGTTGCTCCAAAGGGGCTTGGAGAGCTCAGTCGGGCATTTGAGTGGGTGCCGCACTCTGTCCCACCTGCTCTCCCGGCACACTTGCAAACAGAAAAGGGACGGTTGAAAAGTCTCTCTAGTAGATACGTGCATACGTTACAGACAGTAACTAGTCACATGATAACGAATCCAAACTGGAAAACCAACGGAAGTAATGTCTGGGAATCCTTCAGGTCTGGCTATTGCTCTGGAACCCCACTTCCAGGGGCTTCCCAAGCCTCCAGCAGGCCAGCTGGGATATTCCTCTTTGTGCTCGGTGGGGGCACTTCTCCCCCCGCCCCCCCCGCCGTACCTGTTTGCCGTCCCTCTGCAGCCAGGAAGAGGGGTGAGAAGAGGATCTGCAGCAGACAGGCTGCCCGGAGGGTCTCCTTTGCCATGCTCCAGCGGCCTGGAATTCAGAGGCATTTCCAGAGCTGTGGACTTCTTCAGCCTGCCTCCCTCGCGAATCCCTGCCTAGCTGGGCACCTCTGCACGCCCACCCTACAGGTTCATAACTCAATCTTCAACAGGGAGTTTAGCAGCCTGGCAATTCCATAAATTACTTATTTTATTCATTTATCTAATGAAGCACGTCGCCTCTGTGGCTGCAAAGAGCAGGCAGAAGTGCCTCCGTCCCCAGCGCAAGCCGGGAAACCGGAGGGGAGCTGGGGGAAGGTATGGGGCCGGGGCTGACCGCAGCTGTGCCTTCCTGTCCCCTTTCTGTTTTTGGATGGAGCATGCACACATTTCAGGTGAGAAAAGCAAACCACAGAAAGGTGCATTTAATTCATGCCATTTTACAGGCTCTGGCCAGAAAGTGTGGGGCATGCAGGGATGCTGGCATACATCGGCTGATTGTTGTCTGCCACTGGAGGTAGAATTCTGAACGGGACCCCTTGCGAGGGGAGGGCTTTCTCCTCAGTGAAAAGCTCCCCGCGTCCAGCGATCTCCGTCGTCGGTGCTGGCTCCGGAGCCACCCGGGTGCAGGAGGTTAGAGTGTCGGACCAAGATCCGGAAGGCCAAAGTCCGCCTCCCCACTTCTGCCGCTGGGTGACCTGGGGCCCGGCTGCTCTCTCTCACCCTCACCTACCTCACAGGGTTGTGGTGGGGATAAACGGGGAATAATGTAAGCTGCTCTGGGTCCCCTTTCAGGGAAAAGTTGTCGGGGTACAAAGAAAGTCCATAAACCAGCCAGCGCGATGGAGGGCTGGAGGGACTGCGGCTTCTTCCTTGGTGTGCCACTTTGGCCCCAGGTAGGTTTTCTAAAAAGTGGGGAAGCCCTGAAACGACAACTGTGACTTGCCAGCTGGAAGTGGGGCAGGCCCCGATCCTCCCTTGCCCCGCACCAGCCCCGTGCGACATCTGGGCACAGCTCGGGTGTGGCGGTTGCTGCTGCTGGGGCCCCCTGAGCCCATCCTCTTTCCTGCCGGAGACGTCTGGAGGGACTCGTGGCCCCTGCTGCTGGTGGCTCCCGGAGGACTTGGTGCCCCCCCCCCTAAGGTCGGTCTCCCATTCTCCCAGGTACCTTCCCCCCCCCACACACACACACCCCAGTTCCAGTGCCCAGACTCGCTCTGCCCCTTTGCACGGGCACCACCCAGCTGGCACCATCAAAAGGCACCCAGCCCCTCACTCCCTTGTCTCACACACACATACCCCCCCTCACACACACACACTGTCCCCCCTGGCTGCTCTCCTGGCTGGCAAAGGCCACTCTGACCTGGAGGCAGCTCTGCCCGCTCCCCGTCATCCGCCCCTTCTGTGGGCAGTCCCCCCCCCCACCGTGCCAGCAGTGCCCAGCTCCAACAGGCCCCCTTTTCAGGAAGGAGAAGCCCTCCTCTTCTGTGCCCACTCAACCAGAGGGGGGCGGGTCTGCTTTGCACGGAACGGGAGACCAAAGCTAGCTCCTCAGGCCCGCCCGGGTTTCCTTTAGGACCCAGAACGGCCTGGCCAGGCCCGCTGGGGAACTCTGCTGCCCACACCCGCCTGCCAGCTGCTGCGGGGCACCCATGCCCCCCCCCCCTTCTGGCTTGCTGGCCAGTCCGGCGCCCTTACTCACTCACTCACTCGCTCGCTCGCTCCCGGTGGGACTCCAGACTCCCGAAAGCCTCGGGGGTCTCTGCCTGCGCCTGCCGCGGCTACCGAGGCAGCGGTTCCCCCCCCCCGGCGAGGTGGCCAAGTGGATCGGCAGGGAGGGAGGGAGGCAGGGAGGGAGGGGGGCACCGAGATCAGCGCAGGAGTTAAGGCGCGGGGCGGCCCCCCTGGGTGAGCGAGCGAGCGAGCGAGCGAGGGATAAGGAGCCTGCCTGCCGTGCAGCATCCCTGACCTACAAACACTTCCTTCCCAGCCCCCATCTCCTGTGCTCCGCGTCTAGAGGGCTTCAGCTCCGGGGGGGGAGGGGAGGGGGGAGCGCTCA